GGGAACGAGCTCCCACACTCCTGGAGAGATGGTAAGTAGCTACCGCAGGCCAGCAGTTCAGCGAGCCCCAGTGGGCCCCAGGGCAGGATGCCCCCCACCTGAGATGGGACTGGCAAGGCCCTGCCCTTCCCCGGTGGCTCATGGCTACCAGCCTCCCTGTTCCCGACGAGAGCCGGTGATCCCCCGTCCGCCCCCGAGGCCTCTGCCGAGGTTGGCACACTGGTGCTGGCTCCAGAAAGCGACATTCCAGAGGCCCCCCGCAACTCCCTGCCAACCTCGGATTCTTGGCAGAGCCGGGGGTGTGGGGCGGTGGGGGGGGGGGGGGGGGCGGGGGGCGGTTGGAGAGGATTGCGGGAGGGGCCCGAGTCAGAACACCTGTCCACAGGATGTGAGAGAAACCAGGCCAGAGACAGAGCAGGACCCCCCCCACACCCCTCAGGGACTGTGCATCTCTGGCCTGCTCACCCACACCCCAGCAGGAGCCTGGGCGGAGGGCAGCATCTCACGCACAGCGGTCTTGAAAAGACACATCCTTTTCAGGTGGCCAAGTTCCTCTTCCATAAAAGGTTTTCCAGGCAGAGTTCCCACTTGCTGTGCGACCTTGGGCAGACACACGCTCTCTCTGGGCCTCACAGACTCATGAGAGGGCCGCAGCAGGAAAATCATGAAGGTGCCCTCCAGCCAACAGTGTTTATTATCCCAAGGTGCTGTGACTTTAGTCCCCTCCCCGGGCTCCCTGCTGATCCCTCTCCACACAGCAAGCAGCCAACAGGTCCTCCTAAATCTCTGGGAGGCTGGGGCTCCCCTGCCCCTCACCCCGACGAGGGTGCCTCCCTTCGCTCAGGGGATGCCGAAGCTGCCCTGGCTTCTTCCGCATCTGGTCCCTGCTGCCTCCTGCCCCCTGGGCCTGCCCCTCTCCCTCCTGGGAGTGGACTCTTGGCCTCCAGACTGCCCCAAACCAGACGCGTTTCTTCTCTCCTTGGAGTCTGCCCTTGCCCCTCCTCTGGCCTGGAGGGCTCAGCCCCACCCAGCTCTTCGAATAGTTCTTTCTGGCCATCCAAGTCTCAGCTCAAATGTCACCTCTCCAAAAGGCCTCTCCTGACCCTCTCTCTAAATCTGGGCCAGCCACCCCACCCCGGTTCGCGATCATATCTCTCTGATTTATTTCCTTCATAACATGTGTCAAAATGAAAGCGATCTTGGTCATTGACTGTACACTTGCTGATTGTCCTTCTTCCTCCGTACTGTCCACACTCTGGGAGGGCAGGTCCGCTCTTTCCCCAGCGCTGGGCCCGGCATGCAGCCCGCACTCCGCCAGTCTTTTCTCCGCGAACTGCTAGAGACCTCGTGCGTCTTCCTACACGCCCCAGGCCCCTGGTTCCTCACCATGTGCCTCTTCCCGGGAAGGCTGCCCGCCCCTCTGCCTCTGCAGCTTCTCCCTGCCCAGGCGGGTGCTGAAGTTCTCGGGGACTCAGCTCAGGGCCGGGCAGCCTGAGGGGCAGGGCAGGCAGGGCGGGAAGACCCATGGCCCCGAATCCCCTGGCCACCCACTCCCCATGAGCAGGAGAGCGGCCCTGGACCTGGAAACCCCCTGGGTCTGGCTGCTGGGACAGGCAGTTCCGGGGTGACCTCATCGTCTTGAAAGGGGCACAGCAGGGGCAGGAAGCAGAGGACGCATCAGATGCGCTAAATTTAGAGCGTTTGATTCAGCCCAGGCGGGACAATATTCCTGGAGTCCCCATTGTTCGCGAGGGGCCAGAGGGCAGGCCGTCCCTTGAATGGCTGGGTCTGAGCCATGCCAAGCTGTCTGCGCAAGCAGAGGTGGGGGGTGGTGGGGAGTGGGTGGGGTGACCCGCTCCTTGCTGGGGGAGAAGGCAGGCCAGGTGGGGTGGGTGCAGGCTCTGGGGGTGCTGCCCTTGGGATTAAGGCCCAAGGTGGGAAGGAGGATGCCTTAGAGATGAGGAATGGGGCTCTGGGTGATAACTGCTCAGCTGTGTGACCCTCACAAGGGTCAGGACAGCCACTAGTACCCCCCCACCCCCCAGTCTACCATGTTACAGGCCAGGAGCCTGAGGCTCAGACCCAGTAAACGAGCCGCCCAGGCCACACAGATGCCGTGTCCCGATTCCCAGCCTGGGTCGGCAGCAGTCAGCTGTGCCTGAGTCCACTGCCCTCCCAACCAGGACAGGCGCTATGGGCCCTCACCCGGGCAAAGCCCTCTCCCTGCAAGGCCAGGCGGCTGCAGGGGGGACACAAGAGGAGGGTGGCTCCGCCTGCGCAGGCTCCAGAACTCGTTGCCATGGCAACCCGGGGTCCAAGCCTGCCCTGCTCTGGAGGCGAGCCTGAAGCCGAGGATTTCCCTGGGTGAGTGGGCAGGGGCTGGAGCTGGCTTCTGACCTTTGCCGGCCAGAGCCCAAGACTGGGCCAGTGGCCCTGCCTAGCTGCCTGGGCTCCTCACACGGCCAGTGCTAGGCCAGTGCTCCTTGATGGTGTCCTGTTTCTGCACCCACACCTCATGCCCACACCGCGGCCAGGCAGCCAAAAGAGGGTGGGGATTATCCTCCATTTGAGGCCTTCTCCCTGGCTGGAGAAGGAACCTTTTCCCCCACCTTGCAGGCTGCGAGTCCTTCCTGCAAGTCCTATTGAGGCCCAGGGACCTCCTTGGGCCACCTGCCCTTGGAGTGTGGGGAGGCGACTAGAAGTTCCAATGGACCCGATCTTCCCACTGACCTGTGACAGGCACAGGGAGAGGACCAAGGATGCTCCCTGTGGGCCCTGCCCTCTTTCTTCTTCCCAGCTCAGGAAGGGCCTTGGGAATGAAGCCCAGGCCCCCTCCCCTGGCCCATAGTTGCAGGTGAGTAACCTGAGCGTCTGGGCCCGGATGAGGCTTGTCTCGCACCATACATGGGGCAGCAGCTTCTCCTGTCCTCATGGGCTTTGCCCACTGCCAGTGCCCGGGCTCCAGACCCCCTCTGCCTGGAGCCCCACTGCCCTGCCCCGGGCAGTGGCCCAAGGCTGTTCGCTGCTCCTCTTGATTTCACATCATGACTCATGTTATCATGTTCTCAGGAGCTGAGTAACCACCTGAGTTATTTATACCCTGGCTTAGCAGGCTTCCTTCCCTCCTCCCAGAACTCAGGCAGGGAGGACTGGGAGGGGGTGGGGAGGAATCTGGGAGGGGGGGGATGTGGACTGGGAGAAGGCAGCTGAGCACCCCCCATATCACCTCCCCTGGGGTACCACCCCCGTAAAGCACCCAAAAATAACTGTGACTATCCCAGCACAACAGGATGGGCCTGGATCTATGGCATCGATATATAGGTATTATGATGGTTTGGGGAGGGGGGAATTCCTTTCCCGAGCGAGTCACCCGTCTGGAAAAATAAAGAAGGAAAAAGCTGAAATTTTTTCCTTCCATCAAAACAGGAAGGAGCTGGGGGAGGTGGGGGGGCGGTGGATGGGGAGATGACGGGTGGAGGCTGAGATGCATCCTCCACCCTATGGTGGTCTTCGGGGAGGGGAGGCCCGGGGCGCCTGCACACAGGGCCCACTGGCCCACGGCTGGCCCTGGGTGTCCCCGCTGTGGGCATCCCTGGCTGCCCAGGGATGTTTTCGTCCCCTCCCTCCCAGGCCTGTGTATGTTCATGGACACACACAGATGCCCACGTGCACACAGACCCATGTCCCTCCTCCTCCCCCTCCCTGTCCCTCTCATACACGCATCACACAGACACACTCACCCACCCCCACGTGCCCCCACCAGATCCCACAAGAGAAAAGATCTCACTCTGGGTGGGCAGGACTTGGGAGGTCTGCCTTCCTGACTTATCTGTTTTTCCCTCGCCTTGAGCACTGTTCTGGGAGTCCTAAAACTTAAGTTCACCTCTGACTTTGCTCCAACAATGACCAGCAGGATGACCTCAGGCAAGTCACGTTTCCTCTCTGGAGCCTCAGTTTCTCACCTGTAATAAGGGTCCGGCCATTCCCATGCTGCTTCCCTCGGGGGCCAACGGTGGGAACGGCCTCGTCCAAGCCAGGAGAATCGGAACCAGAGTTCCCATTTCCTGAGAGCTCTCTATGTGCTAAGCATCTACAATCAGTCGCTATATTAGTCCCATCACCCAATGTGTTAGTTCCAGAATTATCCTCATCGACAGACCAGAGGGCAGGGTCTCACCCAGGGTTACACAGCTGGGGTGTGGTGGAGGTTGGTTTTGAACTTTGGGCTCCTCTGGGGAAGAATGAAGGAGGTGCGGTCAGAGCACCAAGGAGGAGGAGGGGAGGAGCAGGAGGTGGAAGAGGGAGTGCTCGCTTCTTTGGCCTCATGCTCCCACCTAGGACCACGGGCGTCGTCAGCAGGGATGTGCCCTGGGGGCCAGGGGGTGCATCTGTGCCCAACGAGCATTATGCCCACTGTGGTGGTGGTTCCCATTAAGACGATTAGTCACTCCCACTGGGCTGCCCTGTTTGCTTATTGACTTATGTAAGCACCGCCTGAAGGTGTTTGTACAGTTCTCCGTCTTTCTGTCTGTCTGCCACCTGCCTGCCTCGGCCTGTATGCCCCTCAAGGGTAGGGGGCTCCGGAGAGGTGAGCTGGCAATGTAACACCCAATTCTTTGCGAGGACAAGTCTGGGGTACCGGGCAGGGCATGTCTGCACATACTCTCCACAATCAGATTGTGTTGGGACCCCATTCTACAGATGAGAACCCTGGGGTCCTGGACTTTGCTCCTCCCAGCTCCACACTGGGCAGGCCCAGGATGGCCACTCCTGGAGTTGCGGCTCCAAAGCCCGTGGCACTGGCTCAGATCTGGCTTGGCGACCTCCTGCTCATGTGAATCAAGGACGTCGTGATCTCCCCAGGATTCAGTTTTCTTGTCTGCAAAATGGGGATAATACACTTTGTTCTCCCTGGATTGTTGGGGGGCTCAAGGGAGTTGACGTATGAGATCGGTCCATGTGAAATCATGCTGCTTGACCATTTTTGACCTACCCTTTAGATCAGTGCTTCTCAAACTGCTGTGCCCACGGGCCACTGGGAGTCTTCTTCAAATGCGGATGCTGACCTGGCAGGTCTGGGGCCGGCCTGGCACGATGCACTCCTGACGAGCCCCCAGGTGCAGGAGTGGCTGGTCGGCGGACCACACTCTGTGGACCACACTCTGCGGAACAATGGTGTGGAGCTCGACAACGGTGAAAAAGTAGTGGCTGAGTTGTGTGCTGAGCAACCGCACTGTGCCAGGTACCGGTGGGCACCTTGGCAACCACTCTCACATCTGGTCCTCACAGCAACCACGCAAGGCAAATGTAGTGATCTCGGTTCTCAGCTGAAGAAACTGAGGCTCAGAGAGGTCAATGTCCTGCCCAAGGACACACAGCCAGTAACTGGTTACAGCAGGGCCTCAAAGCCAAGCCTGCGGGGCTTACCCACCAGGGTCCTTGTCCATGGATCCAAACCCCTGCACAGGCTCAGGGTCCCTGCCCTCGAGAAGCTCGCTGGCCTCGGGGGTGGGGGGGGGGGAAACTAAGATACATCCAGGACATGCGAGCATCCTCAAGTGGCCTCTGGGCAGTGCTGAGAAGGGACAACTTGCCACTTCTGGGAAGTCACTCCAGGGAAAGCTCCCCAGAGGGTAGGCAGGACGCGTGAGTAAGTGAGCGAGATGTGGTTGGAGAGGAGAGAGAAGGCTGCACTGGGAGAGGGATCTTCACAAGTAAAAGTGTGGTCTGGGGAAAAAATCAGCCATCCACTCTTCCTCGTGAACTCCAGCTTTGCCTGGAACCTTCTCTCGTACCCACCTGCTTCCCTCCCTCTCCCACTGACCACACTTCTAGAGTCACCACCCTGGGGTCCTTGCGCCGCCCCCCCCCCCCACAGGAGAGGGCTGGGGGTCCCTGCCATTGGCAGAACTGTTGCTCATTCCTGTCTCTGACATACTGTGTGATCTTGGGCAAGTCACATGATGTCTCTGAACCTCAAGTATCCCATCCGAACAGCCTTGGCTTGTACACTATGGACAGGGGCTTGAACATCAATGCTGTGTCAGACTTTCTCCCAAAGGAGGGCTTCCTGATGGCGGTGGGAGGAGATGGGGACTCTGGTGGCAAGCTGAGGAAAGGAAGTGAGGGAGGCAAGGACCATCCATTACCTGACATCTCTGTCTCCTTTCTAGCAGCCTCCCCTGTCCAGTGCCAGCCCACCATGGTGGGGCACCACTCATGGCAGAGAGAGGAGGCTCCTTCAGCCGGGGGTCCAGCCTAGTGCCCACCAGAGGGCCCTACCCAGATAGAGGTGGAGCGAAGCCAAAACCAGTGCGTGAGGGAGGGCGGGGCCCAGGTGGACTGGACAGCTGTGTTTCTTCTTTGCCTGGCCTGGCAGGCAGATGCAGATGTCCAGAGGGTGAGGCTAGCACCAGGCTGCCCAGGTTCAAGTTCCAGCTCTGCCCTTGCTCATCCTTTTTTTTTTAAAGACTTTATTTATTTATTTATTTGAGAGAGAGAGAGAGAATGAGAGATAGAGAGCATGAGAGGGAAGAGGGTCAGAGGGAGAAGCAGACTCCCTGCTGAGCAGGGAGCCCGATGTGGGACTCGATCCCGGGACTCCAGGATCATGACCTGAGCCGAAGGCAGTCGCTTAACCAACTGAGCCACCCAGGCGCCCTGCCCTTGCTCATCCTTGACCGTGCCAAAGCTGCTCCCGATCTCCGTTTCCCCATCTGTAAAATGGGCATGATATAGCTCCTCTCTCATGGGCAGGTTGTGAGGCTTAACTGGGTGACTATACCTGAAGGCCTGGGCTCATTTGCTCTCAGGAATATTGAGGACGAATCTGTGACTTTATCACTGTGATTAGCTTCTCATCCTTTTGACAGGCCCATCATATTTCCTGCAGTTACAAATATCTTCCTCCGGAGAGCTGGGGAGGGTCTGTGTTGCTGTACCCCCACCAAGAGAGGCTGCCTGCTACCTGCCTCCCCCTCTCTCCCTCCTGCCCTATCCCAGTCGGATCTTCAGAGCACAGGGCAGCAAGGACATCCTGATTTGGGAAGTGCCGGCTAACCCAGATCTCGTACACAACCTCCCGTCTGTGGGGCCACAAATGATTCTCTGCCCTGCGGTGGTGGGAGGTCCTGGGGGCCCACAGCCTCCAGCCCTGCCCAGCCTCCTCCCCATAGCTCACTTAATTTGTTTAATTTTCTGCATGGAAAGTGACATGAAACGCTGGGAGGCTCCGATCCAGGCCACACAGGGGGGGCACCATGTAACGGGGAGACGGCAAAAGTGTGGGCTTTGGCATCACGGCTCCGGATTCAAATCTTGGCACTGCCGCTTCCTTGCTGGGTGATGCTGGGCAAGCGAGTATCCATCTCTGAGCCTCAGTGCCCCCCCTCCCTCTGGTCTGAACAAGATAAGAGCACGAGCCCTCCCGGAAGTGGCCTCGTTCCTTTGCTGGTAGAATGGTGACCATTGCTACGCTTTCCTCAGGCAGAGCGCTTGGCCCAGGGCGAATATTCTGTAAGGGAGGTGTCACGGGTACCAGAGGCCCAGTCCGTGGGCAGCCAGGGGTGCCGTGAGGATGAACCTTCTCTGGGGAAAGCCGACCAGCACCAGCTCTGGGGTGGGGTCATCTCCCAGACTGTTTGGGGGGGCTCTGCTCCCATTTCCAGCCAGCTTCCAGGACAGGTAGATCTGAGCTGTCCCGTCCAAACATCCTCTTCCTTGTCTGGAGACTAGAGGAGCTAAAAATGCATTGCTCAGCCCCAGGAAAACAAACACTGAGCTTCCCTTGCCTTTGTCTACAGGACACGAGGCCCAAGGCTGCAGAGGCAGCGCGGTGGGCTCCCCCAGTCTGCCCTCAGCCTGGCGGGTCTGTCTGTCTGTCTGTCTGCCTTCCTGGGGTCTCTCCTGCCTCCCTGGTCCTCACAGCCACAGTGGCCAGAGCCTCACCCACGTGTGGGTGTCTCCAACAGAAGTGGTGGGGGGCTCTACGTGAGGACTGCCCCCCTTCCAGGTGATGTGCCCATAGCCTGCCCGGCCTTGGGCTCCTCCCCTAGCCCTGTCTCCTGAGCTCACAGGTGGGGCTGTGCGCGTGCGCATATGCCTATGGCTGGAGTGGTAACAACGATCAGCCCAGCAACCAACACGTGTGGAGCGCTCCCGCCATGCTTTCAACACCGAGGATGTGTTAACCTCGTGAGGTGATCACTATTGTTATCCACATTTTATAGATGAGAAAACTGAGGCTCAGAAAGGTGAAGTTCAAGGTCACGGGCTAGTAAATGGCAGAGCAGGCTTTGAACCCGGGCAGTCTTTGCTGGGAAGCGTCGTTCCCAGTAGCCTGCAAGCCTCCGGTTCCTCACCCACAAAAGGAGCACCAATGCTGCAATAGCTCCCTTCCTGGGTGAGGGTGAAGCAGGCCCAGGCCTTGCAGCCCCGGGGGGCGGGGGCAGGGCAGCGAGGGGCTCCGGGCCCGCTGACTGCAGCTACATGGTGAGGGGGTAGATACGTCCTTTGCCATCATACAGCCTGGGGCTGGGGCCTCAGGCCATTTGTGGCTTGGCCTTGGACTGTCCCCAATTTGGAGCCGGACATCCCCCGGCCATCAAGCTGGGAAAAGCACACTTGCCTGGCACTGCTAGGGCTCTCAGGAGAGCGGGGATACCCGCTCTGGACTTGAGGCTCCAAGTCTGCCCCGGGGATAGAAGCCAGCTCCTTCCTTGGCCCTGAGCCCCCACTTCCAGGGTATGAGATGTTTTTGACGGAGGAGAGCTTAGACAGCTCTAGACACACAGCCTAAAAAGCCCTGGCCTTGGGCGGGCCCCTCGGCAATTACCTGAGGGCCGTGGCCACTTGGTTTTCTGCTGGGCTCACAGCTATCAAGGGGGTTGCGGGGGGGGGTAAGGGTTATGCGGTGTGGCCCCCAGCCCACATAACCAGCTCCCAGACCTATTGGAAAGCCTGATTCCTCAGGGCCCCAATGCCAAAGATGGGCCGGGGTCTTTCCAGGTCTGTGAGGTACCCCTGTGCATTAGGGTTTACAGGCTCACATTACGAGCCTCCTCCCTGACCCTTCACCCCTCAGGCAGGGCATGGCATCTTTGCTCCAAAAGGCCAGGACTCAGGGGAAGAAATAGGCAAGATATTTACTCATTTATTCATTTATTCATTTCTTTAGCAGACATTTATTGAGCAACTGCTGTATCGTGGGAGCTGGAATGGGGCCCTTGCTCACCCGGATCTCATTCTAGTGCTAGACTGATAAATGGGCAATGACAATACCATGGGGCACATGCTGTGGGAACCCAGAGCAAGTACCAAGCCCAGGGGGCTTAGCTGGAGGAGGTGCTAAGTCAAGTCACAGGAGGAAGAGGAGGAGGTGTTCTTTAGAGAATTGCTCCTGTGGAAAGACCCCCACATTGGCATGTATCTGCAAGGAGAGGGTACAGGAAAGGGGTTCTCCTCAGCATGGCATTCAGGCCGGGTGCCCTGTGGTTCCGGCTGCCTCTGCTGTCCCTGTCCTGCCCCTTCTAACCAGTGCACAAAGACATCTGGACTGTATTGATCTGTGTCTATGTCACTCAAGAGCCTGGCAGGTCCCAGAATCCCGGCTCTGGGTCTCCTTTATTACATTTCTTCATAGGGCCTGCAGACAAGGGGGTGCTCAACGATGCTGCTCCCAATAGCCTCCTCTCCTTGTATCCCTCCCCTGAGGCTGAGCCGTGTGCTCCCTCCTTTGTGCTCCTACAGCACTTTGTAAGTCAGAACTCGTGTCTGTGAAGCACTTTTGGTTGGCAAAGCACTTATACATATATTCATGTGTTTCATGCTCACAAAAGTGTAAAAGGTGTCATAGGTATCATCATCAATCATCCCCTGCCAAGAGGCAGCATAGCATGGTGGTTTAAGCGTGTGGGCCCCACAGCTGGAATGCTTGGGTTGGAGTCTAGTCTCTACCACTTACTGGCTGTGTGACCTTGAACAAGTTGCCTAACCTCTCTGTGCTTCAATTTCCCCATTTGTAACATAGGAGCAACATACCTCACAGGAGCTCGGAGAGGCTACATGTCTAGTAAGAACACGACCTATTACACGGTCCCCTCGATAATAATGGTAGCTGTTCTCATCTCTTTTAAGGATAAGATCCAGAAGGTCAAGGTCAACATCACCTAGTGTCCTGTGGTTTTATCTCTAAGTCTTTAGACTTCAAATCTTGTGTTTTGGGATTATCTTCCCATCCCCCCACCCCCAATCTCCCCCGTCACCCTGTCTCCTAATTTATCTGTTTATGTATCTGTCTGTCCTTCTGGATAGGGGCTCCTCCAGGGCAGGAGCGTGTATCAGCCTTGTGCTGTCTCCCCAGAACCTGGAATAGTGCCTGGCCACCGGGGAACACTCAAATTCTGTGTTGAAGGGATGATGCACTCCGTGTGCCAGGCATCATGCTCAGTCCTTCCAGATGGACTATCTCATCTGAGCCTCCAGACCACTTTAGGAGGTAGTTAAGAATTCTACAACTGCACTGAGGTACAATAAAATGCACAGATCCGTTTTGATAGAGGTATATACCCGTGAACTCATCATTCCCAGCAAGGCTGACAAACATCCCCATCACCCCTAAAATTTTCTCAGGCCTCCTTGAAATCCTTCTCTCCCTCCAATTCTAGATTTATTTCTAGTTTATAGGGGAGGAAACCGAGGTACGGGGGAGGGGTTAAGCTTCCCAGAGACACCTGACCAGCTCAAGTGGCCACACCAGGATTTGAACCAAGGTGACCTGCCCCCGGCCTGCCTCCCGGCCACGGTGCCATGCTGCCTAGGTGGTCCTGGGTAGAGGGTGGGTACTTGTGGCTGTTTGTAAAGAGGCCTGCCTGGCAAAGTCCTCTGTCCTCCGCGCCCCCCCAGGGCCCCCCCCGCCCCCCGCTCAGGTCCAAGAAGATGGCTCATGAAGAGACAGCGGGTGTGCCTGTCTCTGTGACGGAGGCGTGAGGAGCGGGCTGGCACCCCAAAGGGATGTCTGGGTGCCAAGGACAGCTGACGGAGACCGTGCAAGGGGACCAGATAAAGGTGTCCTACAGCCAGGAGCCAGGCGATGCAGTGAGCCTGCGGGTCCCGTGGTGGGTGCTGGGCTTGGCGGGGGTGCGTGTGACTCTGTGACTGACCGTGTGACTGCTAAAGGCAGGGCCACCGCAGCTGTCCGTGCTGGGGGTGGAAGGCGTTAACTGTGTGAATGCTGGCAGGGGTGGGCTCAAAACCCCGGGGTCCGAGGGAGGTAGTAAACATCAGGGTGACTGGGATTGTGATGGCGGCCCTGCAAGGATGCTGCTGGGTTGTGGGGGTTTGTGTGACTTTGCAGTTCAACACACTGGCAGTGCCTGTGGTGTGCCAGGCAACCAGCGAGGAGGTGGAGACACAGACCCAGCTTTCTGCTGAATGGTACTGGCTGCGGGGTCTGTGGGATCACCTTGTGGCTGGCTCCGGGCTCGGTGCTGTTTGCCCTTTCTGGCCCTAGGTCCTCCCAAGAACCCTATCCCACTCGGAGGCTAGGTGGAAGAGCACAGAAAGGAAGTGACTTGCCCAAGGTGACCCAGCTACTCAGCGCCAGAGCAGGGTATGAACCAAGCTGCGGAGCCTTGAGTCCTTGACTGCTATGCCTGGGTCAGGGTGCAAGTCCTGCCCTGGGGCTGCGGGTTTGGACACCTGGCGGTGGCCCTGGGGACAACTCCCCAGCCACGTGGGCTAGAAATCAGGCCATGGTCACTGTGCTAAGGGGCGGGGCGCTGAGTCGCCCCTAGTTCTCCCTTCCCAAGGGCCAGATTCCGGGCAGACGGGCTGCCGGGCTCTTAGAGACCCCTGAGCGCCCCGCCCCCGCCCCCCAGCCCCCCCGGGGCCCCCCCCCCCCCCCCTTCCCGGTGCTGACTCTCGGCCAGCAGAGGAAAGGCAGTCTCCACCCACCTCTAGCGCTCTCCCTTCTCCTTTATAAAGGCCGGAACAGCTGAAAGGGTGGCAACTTCTCCTCCTGCCGCCGGGAGCAGCCCGCCTGCCTCCCCGCGCGCCCGCAGCCTCCCCCGCTGCCTCCCTGAGGGCTCTCCTCTGGCCGCCAGCGCCCATCTTTCATTCCCGAGACTGAGATATTTTGCGCGCACACACATACACACACGCGCAAAAAGGGGGGAAAAAAAAAAAGGCCCACCCTCCAGCCTCGTTGCAAAGAGAAGCCGGAGCAGCCGCAGCTCACAGCCCGCAGAGGAAGCCCAGAGCGGCGAGCGCGACGACAGACGGACCGACGGACTCGCGCCGCGTCCACCTGTCTGCCGCGCCCGGCACTGCGCGCAGCGGGTACGCCGCGAGCGCGGAGCAGCCGTGCCCGCCGCCCGGGCCCCGCGCCAAGCCGCACACGCTCCGGCCCCCCCCACCCGGCCCGGGCGGGAGTTTGCACCTCTCCCTGCCCGGGTACTCGGGCCGCCGCTGCAAAGCCAACTTTGGAAAAAGTTTTTTGGGGGAGACTTTGGCCTTGAGGTGCTCAGCTCTGCACTTTCCGACTTCGGGGGGCTTTCCAGAAAATGTTGCAAAAAAGCTAAGCCGGCGGGCAGAGGAAAACGCCTATAGTCGGCGAGTGAAGACGAGCCATCGACTGCCGTGTTCTTTTTCCTCTTGGAGGTTGGAGTCCCCTGGGCGCCCCCACACGGCTAGACGCCTCGGCTGGTTCGCGACGCAGACCCCTGGCCGTGGATGCTCACTCGGGCTCGGGATCCGCCCAGGTAGCGGCCTCGGACCCTGGTCCTGCGCCCAGGCCCTCCCCAGCCCCTCAACGACGGAGCCGGGGCCGGGGGCGGCGGCGCCCGGGGGCCATGCGGGTGAGCCGCGGCGGCGGCTGCAGCGGCCTGAGCGCCTGATCGCCGCAGACCCGAGTCGAGCCCACCTCCCTCCCCAGCCCCCGCCCCCCACCCTGGCCGCGGGGGCGGCGCGCTCGGTCCACGCGTCCGGGGCCCCGCGGGGCCGGGCCCGGAGTCGGCATGAATCGCTGCTGGGCGCTCTTCCTGTCTCTCTGCTGCTACCTGCGTCTGGTCAGCGCCGAGGTGAGTTGCGACGGCTGCCAGGGCTGGTTCGCTTCATTCATCACCCCCACCCGCACCCCTCAGTCGCCCCCTCCCCTCCCTGCAGTGAACTTTGGACCCCTGCAGCCCAGGGGCCTAGCGCGGAGCGCTAGGTGACCTCCGAGGGCTGGGACGCAAGATCCGGGAGGTGCCAGGCTCTAAGGGGAGGGGGCAGGGGAAGCTTTCTTTCCCAGGGGGCGATCCCAGATCTCTGGCCCTTTCAGCGTCGGGGGAGGGTGTGTGTGTGGCCCTGGCTCCCACCCCTCAGGAACCCGAAGGGGGGTGGTGGTGCCGAGGGTGCAGAAGGCAGCGCGTCCTCCCAAGCCCACTTTGGTTCCAGCTTAGGTTCTCTCCAGGACCCGCGAGCTCGGGCACCGGTGGCAGCCACGCCAGCCTTCCGCGGGGATTTGCCTTCCCTCCCGGGCTCCGGCTCCGGGTCGGGACGGGCGCCCTCGGGCCAGCGCAGGGCATGCCCGGCCCTAGAGCGCAGTCCAGCAGCAGCTCGTGTCTTGCGCGCGGGGGTTGCCGAGAGGGAGGGAGGGAGAGAGAGAGAGAGAGAGAGAGAGAGAGGTTTTGGGCATTCGGGAATTGGGGAGGAGGAGAGGCTTTTAAGGAATCCAGCCCTCGGGGCGGTGTGTGCCCCAGGCCCCGCCATACCTGCGCCCGCGCCCAGCGAGAGGAAGCGCCTCTCTCCCCCGCTTGCAGGGTGCGGAGCGCGCCAGTAAAAGCATAGCTGCAAGGCAGGTGGGGTGTAAAAACGTCTGCGGGAGCTATCAGGTCGGATCAGTACCCCCCCCACCCCTCCCAGCCTCACGTAGCAGTGAGTTGGCAAGTCCACCCGGAATCCAGGTGGGAAAGGGGGCGGGGCAGGGAGGAAGCGCGAGGTGGAGGGGAGAAGAGGGCCGCGGGGAGCGCGGCGAGCCTGGGTCCCGTCCCGCCTCCGCTCCGCGGCGGCCGGGAGCCCGCACCTCGCCGGCTCCCGAGGAGGGCGGGCCCCTCCTGGCGTCCAACGAGGCGCAGGAAGGAGGCGGCGGCGGCGGCGAAGGAGTTAAGGTGAAGGGCTCCCAGGCCGCGGCCAGACCTTGGGCCGCCGCCAGCGCAGGTTGTTTTGACCACAGAGGAGCCGTCGCCGTCTCCTTTTGTTCTCGGGGCTCCTCGAGGGCCGCCGGCCGCCCGCCCTGGGGCCCCGCCCTTCCGCGGCCAACCCCCCGCGGTCCGCACCCGGGGAGGGAGGCCGCAGGGCTCGGCCTGGAAGCCTGCAGGCCCCTCCCGACGCCTCCTCCTCTCCTCTCTGCAGCCCCCCGGGCCGCGGCCAGCTGTTGGGGAGGGGGGCGCCGGCCGGCCCCAGCTGCCGCCTCGCCTTGCCGCGGGGCCTGGGGGCTGGGGCCGGTGCCAAGGCGTCCTGGGAACGGCGGCGCCCCCGCCGCTGCTCGCCGCAGCCCACCCCGCCCGGCCCCCGGACTCGCTCACTCACCCCACGCATGCACACTCTTGGCCGGAGGCGATGCTGCGCTCCGGCTGGCGGGCGGGCGCGCAGAGCGACGGGCACGCACTACCGCGGCCGGGTCGCGCGCCCGCCGCCGCCACGCCCGTGCACACGCGGGGCACACGCGCGCGCACCGCACACACACGTACGCCTGGCCCCCGAACACGCGGCCTGAACACACGTGCGCGCACACCCACGCACGCACACAGGCACGCACGGCCCCTCTACACCCGGCACCAGGTGCCCACCCCCGCGCAACAGGTGGGCCCACCGTGGGCCCTGGAACCTCGTCGTCTCTAGTGACCGCATTTCCTTGCTGGGCCCTAGGAGGGAGGGGAAACAGGGACCCTCCCATCAGGTCTTGGCTCCACAGCACCCACTGCTTTTTGCCGGCGCAGGTCAGCTTGCCGCCCCTCCAGCTTTACCCCTCGGTGATTGCTTTTTTACAACTACCCCAGGAGGCGGAAAATAGGGTTGATGCGTCTGGGGGGCGCTGTGATGTCCAGAGCATTCTCCCTTCCAATAAGCCCTTCTTTGAGCCTCCAAGACTAAAGAGGACCCTCGCTGCTGAGGGGGCTCCCACCTGGCTGTTCTGTCTTCTTTGCTGATCCCAGCGCGCTCTGGAGAGGCTGGGTGACAGCTGGAAGAGGCTTTTTCCCAGGCCTGCCCTCCTCATTCCCAGCTTCCTCCAGCATCTCCTCCTTCCCCACAACTCCATGGATATGTGTGCTTGGGGGGGACGCTATGGCACAGAAGCTGGTGCCTCTCTCCCTACTGTAATCACAGCGTCCTGGAACACAAGGCCCTCGGGAAGCCACATTTGTGTGGTGCTTTGCAGTTTCCGAAAGAAGAAGCGCTGTCTCGCTAAGCCGGTGTCAGCCTCAGGCGGCTTTGGGGGAGGAGACATAAAGGGAAACCCATCAACATGGGGGCTAGTCGGGGGAAGGGAGACCAGGAGAGCTCGCTGCTGGAGGTGGCCTTGGGGCTGGCCTGGTCCCTGGCCAAAGCCTCAGGTAGAGGCCCCAGCAGCTGGGAAGGCTGGGCCTGGCAGAGGGTCTCCTGAGGCCTAGGAGGTCCTATCTCCATCCGCTGAGCTGGCTTTTAGGGAGGGTAACTCCCACTGTCATGTGATGCCTCCCGCCTGAGCACCCTTCTGCTGGGAAGGAGGGAAGGGGCCTGGCAGTCCTTTGCCACCCAGCCTCTTTCTGGTTTGCTAATGGTCTTAGGTGGTGGGGGACTGACTTGCTGGCTTTTCTCTCTCCCAGCCCTAGAAGTGTCTGCAAGTTTAGGACCGAACAGAATTTTGTGGCTCTGGGGCAAGACCTAGAACAATGTTTATATACGTGTGTGTGTGGGGGGGGGGGGGTTGATTCAGCGAGAGTGGTAAAGAGGGGTTTGCTATGGGCTTCCTGGGTCCCTCTCAGTCTCCCCCTCCCCATATGCCTCTTCTAGGATAGCTATTCCATTTTCTGGTTTATTTATTGTCCGTTTTCCCTCACTAGTCTAAACTCCTCTAGAGAGTTTGTCTTGGTCACCACTGTCTCCCATTGTTGGAACAGTGCCTGGTCCAAGGTGGATAATCTATAAATATTTGGGGAAAGGACAGTGGATGTGGGGGGGGGCATGGGGGGCGGCAGTGAGGAAGGACCAGACATCTGTCTAGCACTTGCTAAGTGCTTTATAAACATGGCCTCACATAGTCCTCACCCCCAGGGCAATGCGGCCCGGCTACTCTGCCCTCCAGGCAGACATTCTCATTTGAGCCCTTCCCCCTATCTTGAGAGACAAGCTTGTCTTTCTGTTCCGCGTCTCGGGACTTGGACTCCAAGATTGGACAGGACAGAGGAGGAAACAGAAGGAAAATCAGACTGCAGAGATTCTGTGTATCTTGAGCTGGGCCTCAGTTTCTCCCACCCCTCCCCAAGATGTGAAGGTTGGATAAGCTCAGAGTTCCCTAAGAGCAGCAGAATTCCCTGGCCTCTTGCAAATGCAGATTCCTGCTCACCCCACGCCAGTGCTGGGAGTTGGGCCGGCCTGGGGTGGAGGGGAGGACCCCCGGGGCAGCGGGCCCGGAGGCGGGGGCAGTGACCGTGATGGGCCAGCCCGGGTCGTAACTGCAGCACTGGCCCCTCTTCCAGCCGTAACAGATTTTCTGCTCCAGGGAGAGGCGGACAACCCAGTGTGGGGCTGGGCTAACATTCAGGAGGGGCGGGAGGGTCCCAGGAGCAATAGGGAAGGGAAATGTGAGGTGGGAAAGTCTGGCTCTAAATGGCTTCTGTGGTCTGCCCGGAGAAGTCTTCTTCAAAGGGCTTGGCTTTGGCATCGAATCTAAATCAGGCCTGAGACTTGTCAGGCAGGCGGGTGCTTGGAGGCCTCGCCGGCTTCTCTCTCCGCCAGCCGCAGCCAACGCCCCTGGTTGCTCGGGCTGAGCCTGTCATCTCCCTCGGAGGAGCGGTGGGCTGGGAGTGCGAATGTGTGTGCGCAGCTGGGGCCCTGGGGGAGGGTGGGGTCCAAGCCCCTTTGATCTGCCAGCCGGGGTGGGAGCAGGTAATTCGCCTGGCCTCACTGCTAGTGCCCTTCCTACCTTCTGCAGCTGGTGTTGGGGGTGGGGAGGGAGGGGAGGAGACTGTTTGCCTTGGCTCCCACGGCTGGCTGTGCCCCAGCTGTCTTCTCACCACACCCTCGCCCTGTCAGGAACCCCAGGCCTGAGATCTGGGGCAGCTTCATCAGGATGCCATGCCTCTTGTCCCTGCCCACCTAAGGAGGGTTCAAGAACCTGTGCCCAGGAAACCCGGGCTCCAGGCTGCTCACCCTCCCACGCCAAGAGGAGCCTCTGACCCCCAGCAGGTGCCCCTGCGAGTCTCCCCCAGGGCGCTGCATCCTGGAGCCGACCACAGGCTGAATTTCCCCATCCCTCACCCGCCCCCAGCCCCGGAAGGGACCTGCCAGCCCACGCGGCCCCGATAACGCAAAGCCACACGCTCTCCCCGGGGCAGGCAGCTCTCCACCCACCAATTGTCTTCCTCAAAAATGCCCTGCCTGGCTGGCCCTGGGCGTGTGTGCTGCTCACTGCTGCCCTTGAAGGAGCCACCTGAAAGACTGAATGGGCCACTGACAGCTCATTAAGTACCTGTTATTTGCGGGCACTCTGCTAGGTGCAGTTATGCCTCCCAATAACACCAGTCAGGTGTTCTTCGCCCCATTTGAAAGATAAAGAAGCTAAGGTTGTTCAAAGGCTTCATCCAAGAGGCCAGGTTTCCTTGGCAGCTGAAGCCCCTGCTTTTCTGTGTACTCGAGTTTCTCGACCTCTGCCCTATTGACATCTTGGGCCAGATAATTCTTTATTGTGGAAGGCTGCCCCATGCATAGTGGGATGTTTAGCAGGATCACTGGCCACCACCTACTAGATGCCAGGAGCACTGCTCTAGTTGTGACCGCCTCAGCCATGGCCAATGTCCCCTGAGGACCCTCTAGCCCCTGCTCTGGGACACCTGATGCCAGAAAGTTCCGTGGTGGGCTGGAAGAGGGAGGGGCGCGGCTCTGCTCTTGTGGTGTAGACCTGTAGCCCTTTACTTATTTCTCTAAGCCTTTAGCTTCCTCATCTGGAAGATGGGGATAAAAATATAGAGCCAGCTGCTTAGGATTGGTAGTTAGTACAGCATTTAGCTCAGTGCCTGGCTTATAGTCAGCACTTAATAAAAGTTCGCTGTGGTGTTATTATCAAATCCAGGCAGCTCTTAGTGAGTTCTGGGCATCCAGTGGCCAAGTTACTAGAAACATGTGCAGGAATGGCCTCTCTGCTTAGAGCGAAGTGGACTTTTTAGGAGGCAGTTTGCTTAGAGGGTGGAGGGGGGTATTAACCCAGGGGGTCCTCCTGGTGGAGGAGGTAGGAGGATCACACAGGAGAGAACCCCAGGGAGAAGGGGAGAGTCCTTTATGCATTTTATGAGTACTTCTTGAGCACCTACTGTGTACTTCTCCCACCTCCCCCATCTGTCCTGGGCTCTTCACTACTCAGCCTGGGAGGGTCTGGGTCCGTTTCCATAAAACATTGTCTCTTGCATTGCAGGCTGGGTCTGGGGCACCTGCTAGTCCTGTTTGGGGTCTGCCTACTCTGCCCCGCCTGGCAACTGCAGCCAGCTCTCTAATGGGCAAGGAGGTCTTGGCATGAGTGCTGTATGCCATTTGGTCCTGGGCCTTGGGGCCCTCTCCTGGGGGGTTAATTGAATCATTACTGCACAGACAGCCTGGAAGCCCTGCCTGGACACCTCACCCTCGGCTTTCCTCTGTTACCTCTACCAGCACAGGCAGAATTAGGATGGAATCAAATGTCTTCGACCCCCTGATTCACAGATGGGGGCCAGGACCAGAGAGGGGCAGTGACCCGCCCCAGGTCATGGGGTGGTTAGTAGCAGAACAAGGGTAGAATTTAGCTCCCTGGACTACCAGTTCTGGGCTTGGCAAAACCCTCAAGTAGGCTGCCTCTTCACTGGGGACCAGCCGCCTGCCTTCCAGTCTGTGGGTAGTGCCCTGTGTCCACATTTGGAGACACCAAAGGCATGGTCTCTGTCTTGGAGTAGGAGGAGGCAGAGCGTGGCAGAGGTAGGGGAGGAAAGCGAGGGGCAGCTGAACTGATGCCCCTCCCCCATCTCACGCTTCGTAGCCATGGACCCTGAAGGAAAGACCCCAGCTGCCAGCCAAGCTTACTGCTTGGGCCCCAAGCCTCCCTGTCTTGAACCTCCCGGCAACCCTAGACACCAGGCAGGATTATAAGCTCTGAGTTCAAATGAAAAAACTGAGCTCGGGGGTTTCAAGGAATTCGTTTTAAAAGCGAATGTAACCCACACTCTACCCTCACTCCAAGGTCGATCTGGGTGGCCAGGGCTGGATGGATGGGGTAGAACCCCTGGAGGAGGTGTTCCCAGACGCCATGATAACCATTGAGGAAACGGAGCTTTGGGGGAGCCAGAGACTGATCCATCCCCAAGCTCCTAACAGTGCTTTGGGGAAAGCCCCTTGGGGCCGGCCACGGGGCAGAGGACCTCCTACCCCTGTCAGGCAGGGACTCAGCCTGTGCAAAGCCAATCAGAACTCAGGTCCTTGGAGGGGTGCCTGGGTGGCTCAGTCCTTAAGCATCTGCCTTCGGCTCAGGTCATGATCCCAGGGTCCTGGGATCTAGCACTGCATCGGGCTCCCTGCTCAGCAGAGAGCCTGCTTCTCCCTCTCCCACTCCCCCTGCTTATGTTCCCTCTCTTGCTGTGTCTCTCTCTGTCAAATAAATAAATAAAATCTTAATAAAAAAAAGGTCCTTGGAGTGTTCCATGAACTGACTAGAGCAGGAGCTCCTGCTTCCTCCTCCAGAGAAACTGAGGCACAGAGTTGTTTAAGTAAGTCAGGTCTGCCGGCGCCCCCTCCAGGGCTCCTTCCGCAGGACCGCGCCATCCTGCATCTGTGTGTGCTCGTGTGTGTGTTTGTACGGCTGTGAGTTCGGAAATGAAGCAGGGTCTCCCACATTTCCTTTGCCCCGAGGCATTGGGTGTCCAGATTGGGGCCTCCTCCTCAAGACCTCTGGCATCAGCCCCTCAGGCTTCCCTGGACCACGAGGGATGTGGCTGTGACCTTCCTATCAGGCTGCTGTCATGTCGTTGTGAGGCCTGCGGTTTCCCTGGAGGAAGCCCGGCTCCGAGTGGGGCCTGTTAAAGCACTTATTAAGTTTCAAGTGTTTTTGGTAACAGGCCAGAGGGGCTCTAAAAATAGGGTTTGGTTGGGCATGGGGCATGGGTAAGCTTTCAGGTTTCGTGTCTGTATCTGAGGATTCCCTTCTCTCCTCTTTTGAGCAAGAGGCTAAATAGATCTGTTAGTTACCTGGGGCCCCTGGAGCCTGTCCAGCTCCGCAAGCATTTAGGAACCAGCTCATGTACCCAGGAGGCTGGGGGGACAGGCTCTGCTGTCAGAAAGCCTTGACTTTGAATGCAGGTTCTACTGATAATTGGCTGGAAGATTCTATTTTCTCATCTGTAAAATGGGGACAATTAGATCTCCTGTGACAAATGCTGGCTGTCATTGGCTGTCAGGTGGGGAGGAAAAGCGGAAAGACGGTTGGAGTCTCCAGGAACCTGTGATGCGATGTGGGAGACAGATGTACACCATCGGACCTAACTCAGAGCAAGCTGGGGCTCCCTTTTGGGGGTGGGGGATGGGCATCTGATCTGGGTCTTAGAGGCTTCAGCAGGTTCTGGCCCCCAGAACTTTGTGCTTCTGGTTGCCAGGCCTGGAACCGTGCCTCCGCCGGTGTGGCTGTCCATTTGCCCATGGCCGAGAGGCCCTGTGGGGCTTTTCCATAGGACGGTGCGTGTGTGTGGCAGGGAAGAGGGCCATGGCTAAAAAGCCCTCGACTCCAGCTCACTTGATCCCACGGTGTCTGCCTGGCAGGGGGACCCCATTCCCGAGGAGCTCTACGAGATGCTGAGTGACCACTCGATCCGCTCCTTTGATGACCTCCAGCGCCTGCTGCACGGAGCCTCCGTAGGTAAATTGAACCCTCATTCAGGGCTCTGGGCCTCCACCGAGTCCTCAGGGGCCAGGAGGGGCAGGGCAAGGGGCAGCCTCCCTTCCTTGACTTCCAGAGAACTAGAGGCCTGTGGCAGCCCCAGGAGGGCTCGGCCACACCTGTCCCCGGGCAGGGCTGAGTAGGTGGATGGGTTGGTACCTGGGACGTGGGGTGTGGCAGAAGCACCCACCTGTGGCTCTGGCTTGGTGCACGGGGTGGGGTGCCGGCAGGAGGGGTGCAGGGAGAAAGAAGGTGCCCAGGGCATATGCCGCATGTGTATCCAGGTGTGGACCCAACCAGGTAGGGTGGTGCCGAAGGAGCCATCTCCCTGCCCCTCTGGCTGAGGGCCCAGTCTCTAAGGTCTCCCGGGGACACCTGGCCCAGACCAGCGGGCAGCCCTGCCCTAGCCCGAGAGTGCACTCAGCAAATGGGCACGTGCTTGGTGGCACACACGTGGCAGGGCTGCCGGGCTGGGTCGGGAATGTATTTATAAACGCTGTCTTCAGAGCAAATTCCATTCTATTCTAACCTCTGGCCTGTTCCCTGGAGCCCTGGTCAGCACCCCCCCTGCACCCCCAGCTCCCCTTCCCTCTAGGGTTTTGTCTCTTTGTCACTTTGTAATCCTTGCCCAGACTCCTATCTACGGGGGACAGCATTTCCTGTCTTTGTTTCCTCTCCCCGTTGGGCCCCTGGCTCCCTCTCAAAAGCATTCCCGGGCCCTTTCAAACCCGCCTGTGCCGGGGGCTGGCGAGGCAGGCGGGAGGGGGCCCCAGCTGGGCCCACCTATTGTTCACTAGGCCCCCCGCCCGACGTCTCCCACACCCCCCACCCCATGCCCGACTGGCCAGCCCTGGCCAACACAATGGGGCAACTTCCAAATTTAGCCTTTCTGCAGTTTCTTTCCAAGGCCCTTGGCCCCCACCCTCGGACAGCCCCTACACACCCCGGCCGGGGGTCGGGATTGGAGACAGAGGTTTTCAATAGCGGGCCTGTTTCGAGGCAACCATGTGGCTATTTTTTCCTAATCAACTTAACCTTTCCACAAAGCACATCTTTTCCCCCATCTCCTCTCCACCAGGGACATTCCAGAGATGGCAGGGAGAAAGGAAGGGAGCGAGAGGGACAGACAGACACACTGACGTGGGAGCAGTAGGCTGGACGGAAACACAGCCGTTGTAGGACCGGCTCCTCCAAACAGGACCCCCGGGGAACCCACACAGAAGAGCAGGAGCTTTGTCGTTGGCGGGGCCAGTGGGAAGGGGAGACAGCAAGAGCAGCAAGGGGGCTCCGTGGGAGGGGGCGGGAGCTTGTCCCCAACACCCCACGGTCTATTTGCTCACTCTTCAGCCATCAGAGAGCTGGAAGGGTCTGCCCGGGATTCAGTGTCAAGCTCAAAGTCCTCCTGTCCGGCCCTCACCTCCCACAGTGCTGTCAGCTGCCTCTAGAGAGAGGGATCGCTCCAAGGAGCACCAAGGATGATATCACGATGAGGGCCTCCCCGGCTGGAGAAAGGAGCTGTAGTTGATGACCTGAGGGAGAAATGGACAGTTTAGGGCAGACACCAGGTCAAAGGTTAGAGGGGAGAGGTAAACACAGTGAGATACTGGGAGCTGGAACAAGACCCAGGCCTTAAGGGCTCAGGGTACGGCCACCGCAGCCCAGCAGGCTGGCTCCCCACCCCTCTCTGCCTTCAGCCCCCACCCCCACTCCTATCCCTCCTCCCTCTCTCCGGCTCAGCTGGGCCATTGTCCGGGGCTCCAGAGGGGCTGTGTCCAGGGCATGCTGGTCCCCCCGGGGATTCTGGGAATTTCTCCATTCAGTGCTTCCTATGGGAACACTGGGTGGAGGGGCACTGGAAACTGGCCTTCTGAGCTCTGGGTCCTTGCCCTGCCCTGGAGGCTGACGAGGGTTCACTTACAGTAGTAAAAGGGAAGGGTTATTTTTAACTCCTTTGACATGGGTTCTGTCCAAAAATGTGGCTGAAGAGGCCAGAGTGGGGCTGAAGGGCCCCCCCGCCCAGGGATGCTGTCCGGTCCCCACCACCTCCTGAGCCCCATGACCACCCTGGGGTTGCCTGGAGGGCTCCTTGTCAGAGCGAGGACCCTCAGGTTTACAGGGACCTGGAAAGGGAGTCTGTTCTTTAGAGTGGGGTGCCAGTGAGGGGTGAGAGGCCACCTTCCTGCCTGCCCCAGATCCCCCCATTGGCGCCCCCACCCCACGATCGGACCAGCTAGGGGCTATGAGAGTGCATCTGGACTGTACGTTCTCTTGCAGATGAAGACGGGGCCGAGTTGGACCTGAATTTGACCCGATCCCATTCTGGAGGCGAGCTGGAGAGCTTATCCCGAGGGAGAAGGAGCCTAGGTGAGGCTGCAGATGGGAATGGTGACCCCTCCATGGTGGGAGCCAGATAAGGAGAACTGGGCCGTGCAGCCAGCCCACGGCTCTGGGCCACCCCATTCGTCCTACACTGAGGACTGAGTTGAACTATAAGAGAGTAAAACTGTCCTTCAATATACTATATTGAGGAGTTGAGTCATCACGCCCCATCCCCCAATACATAGTTTCCTAAATATAGTGCTTTTAAACTCATTTGTTCATACTCCAACCCTAGAGATAGATATTACTGACCCCATTTTGTACAGTTGGAAACTGAGGCCCAGAGAGGGTAAAGCCGTGGCCAAAAGTCACACAGCTAGGAAGGGATAGGGCTGGGGTCCCAGCAGCTCTTCTCACTTGAACCCAGTGCCGTCCTAGTGGGCTGTGTGTCTCTTCTGTGGCTTAGGGCTGCGGCTGGGACAGCAGGCAAAGCTTGGCACCTGCCTAGGTCCCATGGAAGCCTTCCCAGGGGAGGCCGGTGCCTGCTCTAAACCCCTCCTCATCTCTGCCCACCTGTAGTCCCCAAAACACTGTAGACAGTGGCCAGGGGGCCCTTCAGATAGGAGTTGGTGGCCTGAGTTCCACTCCTCAGTGAACTTGGGCAGCTAGTCGAGCCTCAGTGTCTCTCTGTGGGAAAAACCGCAGAGCCCCAGCATGGACCCAAGGCTTGCTGTGGGCCGCTCGCATGACTCAGATGGGCAAGTGCAGTGTACAGGCGCTGTTAGCCCCTGCCGTATAGGAGGAAGCTGGCTTTGAAAGCAGCAAGGGTGTGAGAATAGATTACAGTGTACAAGGGCAACATAAAAGAGTGGTTACAAAATAAATAAGCGACTAGGAGCCAGGGGTCAGGCGAGCCCAGAAATGTGTGAAATCACGGAACGAACTTGAGGCCCGGTGGAAGGAGACGGACATCTGACAGGCCAGCACTCTCCGTGATCTCACTTGATCCTTACAGCGGTTTGCGGGTGTAGATCTCATGGGGAAACTGAGGCTGCGGGCACAGCAGCAACCTGTCCAAGTCCCACAGCTAACAGCCAGGAGGCGCACAAGGCCGCCCGGGGTGGAAGCAAGTGGGACTCAGCCGGGGCTGTCTGTGAGGGGGAGCAGGGTCAGAGCCGTCCCGCTGGGCTGGGCCGCTGGGGGGAGGGGGGGCGCTCTGGGCAGGCCCACCCTCCTGACGGCGCTCTCCCCTCTCTCCCTTCAGGTTCGCCGACGGTCGCCGAGCCGGCCATGATCGCCGAGTGCAAGACGCGCACTGAGGTGTTCGAGATCTCGCGGCGCCTCATCGACCACACCAACGCCAACTTCCTGGTGTGGCCGCCGTGCGTGGAGGTGCAGCGCTGCTCCGGCTGCTGTAACAACCGCAACGTGCAGTGCCGCCCCACCCGGGTGCAGCTGCGGCCTGTCCAGGTGCGCAGGCGCGCCGCAGCCCCGCCCGCCCGGCTGGGGGCGGTGGGGGGGGGAGGAGGGCTGAGGGCCAGGGCGCTGGCCAAGGTGGGGGGGGGAAGGGGGGTTGGGGGGGGCAGACTCACCGGCCCGGCTTCCGTAGGGATGGAGAAGCTCCTGGGCTCTGTCCAGTTAGGGCTCTCTGTGCAGGTGCGCTGAGGCCACCTGTGAGTCCTCAAGGCCACCGAGGTCGCTGTACCCAAAAGCCAGAGGCAGACCCCTAGGCAGGGCTGGGTGTGGGACATTTAAGGGAAGGGTGCTGCCTCCTCTTTTACAGGGATCAAATCCCTAAATGTCCCTTGAAGAGACCTGTCTACAAGCATTTATTGGACACTCAGAATGTTCTGGGCTGCTCAGTTTTCCTCCAAACCTGTTCAGGTTCCTTGTTGTGTCTTTAACAAAGAGGGTACAGAGTCCCTCCAGGCAACAGATACAGCAAATGCTGGGGCAGCCCCTAGCAAAGGGTCAGAATGCTGAATCCTGCCTCCTTTCAGGAGAGATCGGGTATGCAGTCTGACTCAAGGCAAATTCTAGAATAGAGGCTGCTCTGGGGAGCTCCGGGTCTCATGCTGGGCAGGGCAGGGCCAGAGAAGCCTCAGCTGTCTTCTGATTCACGTGGAAAGGTTTTTGTGCCCCTTGGGTCAGCCTCGTCTACACATCAACTCTGGCGGGGCGGAGCTGCCGGGCAGGGGGCACACCTAGGGCTCAGCACCGGCTGGTGAGCCCCGCTCTTGCCAAATGGTCCACCTGCTTTGCCACACTCCCCTCCGAGGTCAGCTGTGGCCTTTCCCCGTGCCCTCCGAGGTCAGCTGTGGCCTTTCCCTGTGCCCACCATCCATCCCAGGCCTGGGCCCTGTGCCCGAGATCGCAAGTGTCACTCTCTACCACACCACCCACTGTCATGGTATCTCTTGTCCCCAGTGCTTCCAGCTCTATGGATGGACACCTGACAGCTGACCTCCCCCTTCCCGCCTCCCTCCTGGATAAAGCCTCCCCCCACTTCCTTCCAGACAACCATCTCCCGCCTCTGCCACAGTCCCTGACCTTGGCTGGCGCTCCGGGAATGAGGACACCACAGGCCCTGCATTCAACCCGGAAATGCCTTTCTCCCTTTCTGGGAGCTCCAAGGGGGCTGGGGCCAAGCTGGAGGCCAGGTCGGGAGGGCTTGTTTTGATGGAAAAGCTACGAGAAGGGCAGAGGGCAAGGTCCTGCTATTGTTTGGGCCAGTGCCTCTCTACTCCTGGCTTTCGAGGAAAGATCCCTGCCGGGGACACTGGCGGGGGGGTGGGGGTGGGGGAGAGCAGGCAGGCGGGCTCCCTCAGCCCCTGCCTGTGTGGTCTTACAGAGGCATTTGGATGGTTCTGTCCTCCAGGTGAGAAAAATCGAGATTGTACGGAAGAAGCCAACCTTTAAGAAGGCCACGGTGACCCTGGAGGACCACCTGGCGTGCAAGTGTGAGACAGTGGTGGCTACTCGACCCGTGACCCGAAGCCCAGGGAGTAGCCAAGAGCAGCGAGGTAACCGCTGGTCCAGGGTCTACCTCTGAATTGCTCAGCTGGGCAGCTCCCTTCTCTTAGGGCACCTGTCACTGGGGTGGGGGGGCAGAAACTGGATCAGGCACGCCCCTGGTTAAAATTCATCTGAAGGTTACCATCTCACTGAGAACAATCCAGATTTCTCCCCTGCCTGCGAGGCTTTACATGAGGATGTTAGCCCCTGACTGGCCTTCCAGCCTTGCTGCCCACCATTCCTCCTCACTTATGCCGCCCCAACCAGCCTGACCTCCTCTAGTGGCCAGGTACCTTTCTGCCACAGGGCCTTTGCACATGCCACTTTCCATCTGAAATTCACTTCTCTCAACTCTTCACAAGCCTACTTGTCTTCATTTGGGTCTCAACTCAGAAGTCACCTTCTCCTAGAGGCCTGCCCTGACTACCTTGTCCAGAGCAGCTCCCATCCCTGTCTTGCTACCATAGCCCCCTCCTTTGTTGAATGAGTACATGAAATAGTGGGACAAGAGAAGACTCCATGGACATCATCTTCAGATATGAGATGAGAAATCAAACTTATTCCCTGTGGCCTTCAGGGGGGATTAGGACCAGTGGGGAAAAGCTGCTGGAGAGAGATTTTAACTCCATATACCAAAAGCTGTCAATCAGTCAGCGGGCCAAGATGGAATTGTATGCCTTGTATGGTAGTGAGTTTCCTGTCATTGAAGATGTATAGGTAGAGACTGGGCAACCACGCAGCGGTGATGTGACAGTTCAAGCATCAGATGGATAATTGGAACTGGACCTCTGTTCCACTCTTTAGAGTTCATGAATTCACAATTTCAGGGGCATAGTTTGAGTTGAAAGGGACCCCAAAAATGATCTGATCCAATTGCCTGGTCCACATTTTACAGAGGAGGTGCCTGAGGCTCAGAGAGGCTGGGGTCTTGCTCAAGGTCACACAGCCAGTCCCAGGCAGGGGTACAGCTGGAGTCTAGGTATCCCGAAGTTCTATTCTTGGCCCTTCTCTCACCGTGACAGCAGTCACTGGCTCTTACCTGCCTTGTCATTTCTTTTTTTTTTTTTTTAAGAATTTAACATTGTTAGAGCTAGAACGGTCCAGAGAGATGACCTTATGAGTCAGTTCAGTGTTCTTGATGGGGCTGCTGGGGCACAGCCATATATATGTGTATGTATATATAATATGGTCTATATATATAATTATAATTTTTATTATTATTATTTTAAGATTTTATTTTTAAGTAATCTCTACACCCAGCATGGGGTTTGAACTCACAACTCTGGATCAAGAGTCTCATGTTCTACCAACTGAGCCAGCCAGGCACGCCAAAGATCAAGATTTATTAAGTTAATATGTTTAGAGGAGCATAAAAAAAATCACGTGTTGATTCTCAGTAACTTTCTATTGGTAGAGGACAGAACATCTTAGAAGCCTCCCAAAGGCAGGCCTCATAGCCTCTTTGCCCTGTTCCGAGAGCCGAGCTGAGGCACGGATGCCCTGGAAAGGTTGATGACTTGACAGCTTCAAACTGACCTGTTGTAAATTATTAATACAGTTAACACGGAACAACATGGGATATCGAATCATGTGGGATAATAATAGAATTAACATAGAATGGTTTCTAGTCAGGAAAAATCATATTCTCCTTTATGTTTAGGACGGGGTTCTTTCGTGTGCCTGTGCTTCCTATGATTTTCCAAGCCGGATCTTGGAAGGCATGTTCAACTGATTAATATGTAGATTACATAAAGTCTTGCCATGTCAGTTTCAGCAGTTTGGCCCCGGCCTGGCGAAGGCTTGGTGCTGTGGCCTGTGTGATACCGGTGTCAGACTTCCTGGGCTCGAGACTCGGCTCTGTCACTCATGAGCTGCATGACGACCTGGAGCCTGCTCGAGCTTTGCCCAGCCCAGGATCCTGCTGATGACCCCATCTCTGGAGCCCAAACTCCGGGCCCTTTAATGGCCCTTCTAGGTGTCCTCCCCCAAGGGGAATCTGAGACCCGCCCACATCCTTACACTGCCCGATGGCAGATATGGGCTAACTGCCTCATGGGAGCTTATGTCTGTGAGGTGGGAAGTCGGCATTGGCCCCGGAGAGCTGGGGGTGCCGGGGAAGGCTCCCAGGAAGAGATGGGCCTTGAGCTTGGCAGAGGAAGCTTCCACTGTCAGGGTGTTGACCTGGGGGCTCAGGAGAAAGAGACATCAGTGCTAACCTTGCCCGAGGCTCACAAGTACTGTGATTTACAGGCCAGTGGTTGAAAGTGTGGACTCCAGAGGCCGACTCCTAGGTCCAAATCCCAGTGTCTCTGCCTTGGTTTCCCTATCTGTTAAATGTAGACACTTCTACCTGCTATGAGGAGAAATGAGCTTAGAACATTGCCAGGTGCACGGGAAGTGCTAGCCAAGGGTTTCTGGCTATGTCCATGTATTATCACCTAACCCGAGGGCCAGGGCTGCTGCCAGCTCACTTTTAAAGATACAGAAATTGAGGCGCAGAGAGTTTATGTGACTTGCCCCAACGTACGCCACTAATACCTGGGAAAGCCCAGATTCGAACCCGGGCGGTCTGGCCCACAGCCCGAGCTCTGGCCTGCCCCACTGAGCCGCTTCTTGGAGCGGCGAGGGCCGGGTGTTGACAGGCACAGGGATGGGGAGGCCCAGCTCCACAGTGGGAGTGTGTGGTTCTGGCCCGATGCCTAGTGGCTCCCCCATCCCAGAACTGGAAGGGGCTTGAGAGGCTGGTGGGAAGAAACCTCAACAGGAGGTCAAGTGAGGGAATAAGAAAAAAGTGCGTAAGAGCAGCTCCCGTTTGCCGATCACTTCTCAGTCTGATCTTAGTGGCTTAAGACAATAGCCATTTTATTAGCTCTCCCCGATTGATGGGTTGACTGGGCTCCGCTTGGTGGTTCTACTTACGTCTCCATTGGTTGTAATGTGTTGTCTGGAGGCTGCGTGGGGCAGCTGGGCCCATGTCCCTCTCGCCGTAGTCCAGGGCGTCTCCTCCCCAGGTGCCTTCGCCGGAAGAGTAGTCAGACTTCTTAGGCAGTAGCACAGGGCTCCCCAAGGCAAAATGGGGGGAGCTGCCAAGCTTTCTTCTTCTTTTTTTTTTTTTAATATTTATTTATTTACTTTAGAGAGAGAGAGGGAGCATGTCAGCAGGGGGGAGGGGCAGAGGGAGAGGGAGAGAGAATCTCCAGCAGACGCCCCGCTGAGCACAGAGCCTGACACAGGGCTTGATCCCAGGACCCCAGGATCATGACCTGAGCTGAAATCTGAGCCTCAACCGACTGAGCCACCCAGGCGCTCTGGGAGCTGCCAAGCCTTCTTAAGGGTTTTGCCTGGAACTGGCACCAGCACCACTCTGCCTCCTTCTACTGGTTGACAGATCCAAGTCCACGCCAGGCTCAAGGGGCATGGAAATTAGGAGGGTCAGTGGGGTAAGGACAAAGAACTTGAAGCCATAGCTAATCTACTCCCCTCTGTGTTTGCCGATAAACTGCCATTTATTCGTTTTACCAGTCCTGTGAGGGGGGCGGTCTTATTACCCCCATATCACAGGTGGGGAAACTGAGGCACGGAGTGGTTCAATAATTGGTAAGCAGTGGAGTTGGGATTTGAACCCAAGGAGGGCTGGCCTCAGACTCCTACCCCTTCTTTCAGCCCAGAAGATCTGGAGAGGTCTGCGGCAGGTGTTGGTTGAGAGCGATAGACCCTCTCCAGTGGCTGTCCATCTGCTGACAAGACCTTTCTTTTTCTCAAGCAGCCAGGACACCCCAAACTCGGGTGACCATTCGGACAGTGCGAGTCCGCCGGCCCCCCAAGGGGAAGCACCGGAAGTTCAAGCACACGCATGACAAGAAGGCACTGAAGGAGACCCTCGGAGCCTAGGGGCATCTGCAGGAGAGTGTGGGCAGGTGAGGCCTGGTGGGGAACCTGAGGCCCAGACCCCTGGTCTTTCTTCTCTCTGGTCTGCGGCTTGGGCTGTGGAAGGGGATGAGGAGAGGTATTTCCCCAAACAAAATCCCGCTCTCAGCCTGGATCCCCTCCACCCGGTTTCAACTGAATTTTCCCATAGGGTAGGTGGGTGAGGGGGCTTTGGGGACCCTAGCGCAGCTGTGTCCCAGCATGCCCTAGGAGGTGGGAAGTCTAACCCTCAACTGCCCCAGCCCTGAGCGATGCTGGAAATCAGCTCCCCATCCCTGGCAAGGGAGGCATGTGAGCGTGGGATGGAGCCCCTAGGCTGTCTCTGACCCCCCCGTCCCTCTGCTTGGCCCACAGGGTTATTTAATATGGTATTTGCTGTATCGCCCCCATGGGGTCCTTGGAGTGATAATATTGTTCCCCTCGTCCGTCTGTCTCGATGCCTGATTCGGACGGCCAATGGTGCTTACCCCTTCCGCGCGTCCGTCCACCCACCAGCGGGTCCCCTCATTGGCCTCCAGCACCTTGCCCGGAAGCTCGAGAAGGAAACGGAGGACCTGAACTCCATTGCTGTCTTCCTCCGCCGACCCCAAGAATCTGGGATAGAAGCGCAAGAGAGACCGGTGGGCCTCCTGTTCCCCGGCTCCCGGCCAGGGTCACACCCGAGCGCTGTGGACTGGCCCAAAGCCCTGCACAAGGCTCTGAGGCCTCTAGGCATGGGTGGCCTGCCTGGTCCCAGGACCCCTGGCCAGCTCTGAAGGGAACCCCCCCAGGCAGGCCAGGGTACCTCGTACTCCTGTGGCTGAGACCACGCAGGGGAGCACAGACTCGAGAAAAGCCCTCCCACGGCACCCAGGCCCAGTCACTTCTCCCTGGTCACCTCTGCTTACAGCGGCTTCCTTTTGTTTTATACATATGAGATCTCTGACGGTATGGACTCCTCTGGGTGGGCGTGGCCCAAGCACCAGGCAGCCAAATGCCCCCTCAGACGGGTTAGAGATGAAGTTTGCTCTGGAGTCGACGTGGCTGGTGACCTGGGCATTCACTGCCTCCTTCCACTCCCCCCACCTTCATTTCCTCTGTTTTATCTCTCTACCTCCACCCTGTATCTTCCTCTTGTCCTGACCCTCAGTCTGCTCCACCAAGGGACTCTTGGACCCCATGCTTCTGCTCCGTTAGGCTGAAGACCAGGGGTCAGGGCAGCAGGGGGCCTGCCCATCATGTCCCAGCCCAGCCAAGACTGCCAAGTAGGTTTGTGCCGGGTGTGCACTGCACAAGGGCACTTCCTGCAGGGATCATTGTTCACACCGTAGAACGTGGCCAATTTGTATATTTATTAGGACAGTTTTCTGGCAGATGGAGATAAAAATGTCTGGAGAAAGGGATCCTTTTCCTAACTGACACGAAGGCTCCACGTGGACTGGCTGTGCCCCGACCTGGCCAATGGCTTGGAGTGCTTGGACAGGAGCGAGCCCGTGTTGGGTGGGGAGGCAACACTGTTGTCCATCTGGCCTCCGTTTTCCTGAGTCCTCAGCTCAAGCCGTTCCCCTTTCCAGGCGGGTGTGAAAAACCCAAGAGAAAGTCTCCAAGGGAGGGGGCAGTCCTTGCTCTCCCCCTGCACACTCCCCCCGTATTAGATTCTTTTGAGTTCCACTTCTGGTGGCTCCTCCTAGGAAACCAGCTCGTGGGCTGGGAGTGGGGGAGAAAAGGGAAAATATGCCCAGGGCTCCCTGGGGTGGGGTCTGAGCTCCCACCTCCCTCCCCACCTTCGACTGCACTTTCCTCCCGTCCCCTCCTCCCCCTCCAAAATCTGCTTCCTTCAGTTTGTAAAGTTGGTGATTATATTTTTGGGGGCTTTCCTTTTATTTTTTAAATGTAAATTTATTTATATTCCGTATTTAAAGTTGTAAAAAAAAAAAATAACCACAAAACAAAACAAGTGAATCCACTGGAGTTCTGTCTGTTGGCATCGTGCGTGACAATTCCCCTTCTCGAATTGGCAGGATGTACTGACAGCTTGTTATGTGTTCCTCTGGCTCTGGAAAGTGCAAGCACACACTCGTGCACACGCTCACACGTGGGTGTGTACACACGTGGGCCTGCTGTTCTGAGGGAGGCCCCTGCCTGGGGGGTGGGTGAGAGCCATACAGCCTGTCCTATAGGTCTTGGTCTTGCAGCAGCTCCTGACCCCCTGACCACAGGTCTCAGCCCTGTGCCTGTCACTGGCAGTGACACGAGATGGTTTTCTCCAGCATGAGGATCTCCATAAGGGCACCAGATCCTCGGCGTCATAGGGTGGGGCTGGCCGTGGGGAGGGGTACCCCATGTGGGGAAGGCTGGAGGGGCTGTGGAATTTAGAAGCAACACAGCTGAAAGGTGGATCTGGGGTCTGATCTTGGCTCAGCCCTTCCCCAGCTGTGTGGCCTTGGGTGAGTCCTAGCCCCTCTCTGGTCAGAGCTTCCTCTGAAACACAAGAAGATGACCAAGAGACCTGTGGCCTCTAAGGTCCAGCTGTGGGATTCTGTGCTTTCCCTTGGCTGCAGAGGCTTGGGTCCCATCCCATAAAAAAGATTCTAAATGTGTTTTGGGTCCCACCTGTAGGCAGACTGGGGCTGATGGGGAAACCTAGGAGGTGGGGAGTCTGACTCATCATAAGGACAGTCTAAAACTAAAACCATTTTGCCCCTGGAAGTAGTGATCTCCCCATCACTGGAAGTATGTAAGTGGAAGCTGGGTGACAGCTTGGCTGAGCTAAGACTGAGTAACACCACGATTGAGTGATTGGTAATTTATTGACTCATTCATTCATTCATTCATTCACTCATTCACTCACCTTCTTGAGCCAGTCTCTAGCAAGGGCTTTTATAGCAATCTGGTTTAAATTCTTCTGGGACTCCAAGTCCTACACTTGAGGAATTGGAATCCATCTGTGGTGGTGGGAGGCACAGGGCAGAGGGCTTTAGCTGGAAACTTAAACTGCCTGCCCAACTCTGTAGGACCCTCTCTTTCCCACCCAGTGTTCTGGGTTCCCAGGGCACCAGAGAAAACTCTGGCTGAGAGGATGGGGGACAACTCCAGTAGGAGGTGGAAGTTAGGGGGCCAATAGAGGGCCCAGTGCATGTGGCATCTTGGAAGCGGCCAGCCGCTGCTATGCTGTTCCGTGGATGGCTGCAGGAACTTCCCGGGGGAGATAGGCAGAGCTGCCTGCATCTCTCCCCTTCCCAGATGCCATCTCAGGCAGCAGTAGTGCCAAGCCTGCGGGCTTTCCAGGGACCTGGTGGGCCCTTTCTGGGTCTTAGAACTGCTACCCTAAAATGGCATTCTTCTAGAAACCCCTTTGCTGGGAAGAAGACATTCCCTTCTTTATCCCTTCCTCTGTCCTGTTGCTGTGATACAGACATGATGTCTGGTGCTCAAGCAGCCATCTTGAGCCATGAGGTTAAAGCCAAATACTGAGATTGGTGGAGCCAGACAGAAGGGGCTGGGTCCCTGCCACCTGACTACCTAGCTTACGAGTTTTTATTCTCTTTTTTGGGGCCTTGAACTCATGACCTTGAAGTCAAGAGTCCCATGCTCTACCAACTGAGCCAGCCAGGCGCCCCCAGGTTTTTTTACATAAGAAAGGAAGAAATTTCTTTCATATTTTGGGTTTTCTGCCCTTTGTAATTGAACCTAATCCTGATAAATAGCCCCCTTCTTTCTAGGAAAGAGATGGCCACCAGGCTGGTCTGGGCATTTGGCATCACATTATGCATGCTTCTCCTCTGTTTGAGGCCTGCTCAGATCTCCTTTCTCCTGAGGAGCCTTCTGTGTCCCAGCCAGCAGCTCTCCTCCCTCAGCTAGAGCAGAACCGGGGCCTTCTTTAGAGGCTTAGCATCTACTGCCTCCAGAAAACAAAAGAGTGAACATCGACAGGGTATAAAGTAAAATATCTGTGAAAATACAGGGTTGTTTTAAGGAGTGGAGGGAAAAATGAACAGTAACGTGATAGCAAAGGGGTTTAGGGGATTGAGATCACGCAGCTCCTGACTGCCTGGATCCCAGCAGCACCCCACTCTGCTGACACCATATCTGGTGTGTTTCCACCATCCTGTAGCATCAGATCAGGAACTCCAGAACCCCGACACCTGTGCATTGCCTGGGTTCTAGTCTGATCCAGCCGCGCAAGTTACTGTGATCCTGGGAAAGTTGCTGCTCCTTGCAGATCTGGGCCTCGCTCCCTTCCTTTGGGCCTCCAGAGCCCTCCTTTCTTGCCCTGCTTTGTTTATCTTCATGGTGCTCACTCTCATCTGGTTCCTTCTACACATGTATCATCCTGGTCTGCACCCTCCCCCATCCCGTATTGGAATCTCCGCACGGAGGTACTTTGTGCATGACTCTATGCCTGGAGCCTAGGATACTGCCTGGTACTAGGTGCTAGAACTCCTGTTGAACAAATGGACGAAAAGGTCTGTTATTCGGGCGATCAAGTGTGTCTGCCCCAAGTCAGAGCTCGCCTGGCTGATCTTCACGCACCATGTTTGTGGCTGGAAAGTGACAGACTCTGACAGTGTTACTAACTGCAGATATTTCAATTTCCCAGCTAGGTCCATGCTTAGCACTGCATCTTCCTTGATTGGAAGATCCTCCAGGGTTAGAGGTCATGTCAAATCCATCTTCTAAGTCTATCTAGTCATTATCTCTCTCTGTGTCTCTATTTCCCTATCTATCCATCCATCCGTCCGTCCATCCACTCACCCACCCATCCATTCATCTACCTACCCACCATCCATGTATTCCCCACCCATCCACTCACTCACCCATCCATACATCTGTCCATCCACCCATCCATCCATTCATCCATCTACCCAACCGCCACTCACCCACCTGTCCATCCATCCATTCATCCATCTATCCATCTGTCCATCCATCCCCCATTCTTTGAGCCGTACCCCTCCTTCTTTCTCTATCACTTTCACCATGTCCCAAGCTCTGTATCTGCCGCCTCATTTTATTAACTTCTGAGGAGCTTGGTGCCGCAGTGGAGAAAACACAACACTAGAACTCAACTAGGTCCCCATCCCAGCATTGCTACCTCCTGCCAGGTGACCTTGCAGAGCTGCTGCCTAGGTTAGAGACATGGAGGCTGAGCCCTGCTCCAGGCACGTACTTTGCCCTCAGTCACTGGTAGGGGTTGTTAGTTCTGAGCTCTCAGTGCCCAGCACAGGGCCGATGATAGTGCAGTGGAGTGAAGATGGGAACAAATGAAAGAATGAACACAAAATCACAGAGGGATTAAAATTCAGCTGCAGGCAATGCAAGTTTGTGTTTCAGCCACTGTCCCGTTATTTCACTCAATTAACCCGACCATCCTTTCAGGCAGATGTTATTGTCCTCGTGTTACAGATGAGGAAACAAGGACTCCGTGAGGCTCAAACCCCCTCCCCCTGCTCCCCAGAGCCGGATTCTCCTATAAATGGCTGTAGTCCCTGTGGGGAAGTGTGAGGGAGATTAGTGGACAGACTCAGTCTGGGGTTGGAGGAGGGCTTGTCTCTGACCATCCAC